TGAGGTTGCTATGAGCTATGATGCCACTGCATTCATCCAAGGATAACAAGGTGAGACCCTGTTTCAAACAAAAACAAACAAAAAAAAAAAAAAAAGAAAAAAAAAGAAAAGGAGATAGGACACAAAGAGGGAAGACCTTGCAGAGGAACAGGGAGAAAGTGGTCATTTATAAGACAGGGAGAAAAGCCTAAGAAGAAATAACTCTGCAGACACCTTGATCTTGCACTTCCAGCCTTTAGAACTATAAGACAATACATTTATTGTTTAAGCTACCCAGGGCATGGTGCTTTGTGTGGCAGCCCCAGAAAACTAATACAACAGGTGATGTGTGCAGTTGTGGCATGTTGTGAAGGTGGTACCCAGGTAACTGAGTCTGGGGAAAATGGTACTGGGCAAAGACAGGGGCCTGGCTACAATCCCATCTTGCCCAGTTTCTGGCTGTGTGGTCTTCAGCAATGTCTTAGCCTATCTGAATCTCAATGTCTTGTTTTACAGGATAGGCCCGAAAGTAACCACTGTGCAAGGAAGTTGTAAGGATCAACGTGTGAAATGCTCTTGGTGCTCAATGAATGGCAGTCTCATTATGGGAAAGCAGACACCTAGGGCCTTGGCCTTGAACTTCAGCGCTCCGGAAGCAGTCCTGGCCTTCCCAACCCACACAGTCCAGGCCAGCCAATAACAGTCAGCCTTGGTGAGCCCAGAGAGGGCTATGGTGGTCTTGAGGCTGGATCCAGAGGGGATCACTCACTGTGAGTTTAGTTTTCTCCAAACAAGAGCTTTCTTTCCATTTTACGTCTCGGGAGACTTGGATTGGAGCAGTGACCAGTTCTAGGCCGCCCAGATGACCAGGGTCTGAGACAGGTCCGGAGTCGGGAGCTCAGGGCCCAACACCTGGGAGGCTCGGTCCCCTGGGCGCTGCTTTCGGATGTGAGGAGTCTGAGGCTCTTTCTGCTCGGGCTCCTGCCGCAGCCGCCCATCTAGGGAGAAGGGGAGGAGCTCCCGGGAAAGGGGTGGAACCCCAAGGAAGGGGCGGGGTTCCCGCTGCCCGGTGCGCGGTCGCCACGGCAACGCGGCCATACTGGGCCAACCGATCGCTGGGCCTGGGGCTGTTGCCTGGCGCGGCCTCGCGGCACAGCCGGCGGCATGGACAGCCTCTTCGTGGAAGAGGTGGCCGCCTCCTTGGTCAGGGAGTTCCTCAGCAGAAAGGTAACAGCTTGCCCCCTCCGAAGCCCAGCAGTCACTGTAATTTTTGGGGTTCCCCTGGGGAGGGGGTTCCCCTGGAAACTTTGCACTTTCGATAGGCAGCCCTTGCCCTGCCTGCTCCAGAGATGCCTCAGAAGAGCGTCCCTCATCCCGGGACAGGGGACTACGTTTCCCAAGAGCCGTTTCTGTTGTCGTCATCGGCACTTCCGCAGAGCCAGGCCAGCCCTCTCTGGGCTGCCGCTCCCGCAGCCTTTCTCGCCAAGGGCGTAAGACGGGGGTGGGGTGGGGTGGGGAGGGGGGCTTCAGCCCGGCTACCCGAGACAGATGTCCCGCTAGGAAAGAACTGCGCCCAGGGGAACCCGCAAGGCCCAGGAAAGTTCTTGACAGTCCCTTCGGGCATTTTAATCCAGAGGAGGTTCCAGTTGTTGCATTAATTTTTGTTTGTAAGTTCTGTTGTCTTGTCCCAGGAGACTTTTCAAAGTGTTCACAAGGTGGGGAGATCCCAGGCATGATAGTGCGGGGGGAGTAGCCATTTATTCATTCTGCATATACTGACAGAGGGTTGTGCTGTGAGGTTCTTTGCCATGTCATACTAGCCTGGGTGATGGGCACTTGTCTGGGATGAAAACACACAGTTTTTTGAATGCAGGAGAAGGGAAGGATTTTTGAAGTCAGATGGAGGGGGCTCAAATATTTGCTACTGAGTTTGAAGTGTGAGCTTGTATGTATTACTCACTGCCTCAATTTCCTTACCCTTTGCAGATTTGTAATAAGGGTTAATAATAATATACCGGCAGCCCCCAGGCATTATATCTGGCACATAGGTACTATGTGCACAAGACCTGATACTATTTTGAAAGTGTCTTTGTGTGCTTTTCATAGATTTTTTTAATTAAAAATTTTTAGGGCCAGGCGCAGTGGCTCATGCCTGTTATCCTAGCACTTGGGAGGCCGAGGCAGGTGGATTGCCTGAGCTCCCAGGTATGAGATCAGCCTGAGCCAGAGTGGGACCCCATCTCTAAAAATAGCCCTCCGTTCTAGTGGGCCTGTAGTTCCAGCTACTCAGGAGGCTGAGGCAAGAGAATCGCTTGAGTTCCAGAGTTTGAGGTTGCTGTGAGCTATGACACCACCACACTCTACCAAGGGCGGCAAAGTGAGACTCTGTCTCAAAAAAAAATTTTTTTTTCTTTTAGGCCAGATGTAGCGACTCACACCTGTAATCCTAGCACTTGGGTGGATTGCTTGAGCTTGGGAGTTCCAGACTAGCTTGAGCCAGAGCGAGACCCTGTCTCTACTTAAAAAATTGAGGCAAAAGAGTCGCTTGAGGCCAAGAGTTGGAGGTTGCTGTGAGCTATGATGTCGCCATGGCACTCTATCCAGGGCAACAGCTTGAGACTCTGAAATTTTTTTTTCTTTTTAAAAATGCATTTAGCTTCGTCCTGTCTGCTTTTATTTTTATGACTAATTGACCTTCTGTCACTAAGTTCTGGCTGCATGTTTTATATCAATGCACCCTCCATACTTTGGGAGGGTGACCACTATCCTTTCTTGAGTAAAATGAAATCCAAAGTTTTCACTGACATCCAAGGCTGCCCTATACCTGACCCCAGCTTGTTATCCCAGTCTCATTTCTAGCTGCTTCTGTCTTTCCTCTGATTTATCCAGACCCACCCCAAGTCCATTTTCTACAAGAGATCTCAGATAACTCCAGCTGGAATGACTGACTAGTTTTGTCTGTGGTTCACTCCTTGGGGCTTATGTCATAGTTCATACATCTGCCTGTTTTACCTCCTAGACGAAGCCAAGGAGCTGACCCCTAAACTGGGCAGCACCTTGGAAGTGCCTTAGCTGCCCTGACCATGTCTCCCTCCCATGTTGTATCTGGGTACACGAAGTCCCTGAGAGTAATAAGGGGTTGCCCACAGTCTCTGAGAAAGTCATGGGGAGCTAGGACTGCAGACCGAAGTCTGCAGGTGCTTGGCAATCATAACCAAGAGAGTTCTCCCCATGGTGTTAGGAACCTTTCAAGTGCCCATTTGTTGTCTCAGATCCTCATAATAGTCTTGAAAGATCTAAGTATTCCCTTTCACCTAAGACTATTGTGAGACCAGAGGCCAGGAAACTTGCCCAGGGGAAGCATGTCACTCCTCATCAGACCATGTCGCTCCCCTGCCTAAAACCCTTCACTGGCTTCCTGTAATTAGACTATAAGGCTCTCTCTGACTGGCTCCCAGCTTCCCCTTAGACCTCATTTTCCCCGACTGCTTCCTCTGCCCTCTTCCCTGCAGCCATATTATCCTGTTTGAGCTCACCAAGTACGGTGCTCCCTCATGGAGGGTTAGGATCATCCTCTTGAGCCCACTGAGGTGACTCTTCTGGTGCCCCTCTCCTGCAGTGACCATGCCATCCTGCCTCCACCACCCTCCCCCAGGCTCCTGAGCTAGGCTTGTTGTTACCTGACTGTGCCCTTTCCATATATCAATTCCAGGCTTTCCATGTGTCCTCAATTTCAGCCCTCCTGCCGTTGTAGCACCACATAAATCGTTCTTCAGCCTCATCTGCCAACTTTTGTTCCTGCCCACTTTTTATAGTGCCTCTGGCCTGCTGTAACCCCTGCCCACTTTTTCCTACTTATTCTTGTAATCACTGCCCCCCCAATAACATGCTTGACTCTCTTGCCTTCCTTTCCTTTCATCATTATACTCCCCTAACTTAGATAAAATTCAGCTCAGCCTGCTCCATGCCTGCACCTGCAGAGCTGATTGGAGTTGGAGAAAAATGCACCACCAAGTGAGTAGTGTCATTCTAAATCCAGGCCATTCACCGTGTGATGCTTTAGGGGTGACTGCTCACCAGGTTACACGTCTCTCCAGCCTGTTCACCTTCTCAAGGCCTGGGTGATCATTTCACACTTCAGTCCTCAAACCCCAATGCTCCTTCTCAATCTAATTTCACTGAGAAAATAGAAGAAGTCATGGGAGAGTCCAGGAGGCTCTCCTCACCACTCTCACCTACCTTCCTGGGCCTGAACCCTTCACTGCATTCTCTCTGTGTTCCTGTGGATGAATTCTCCACACTCCTGGGTGAGGTCAAGTCCTCCATGCATGCCTGTCCCTGTTGCATGTTCAAGAACATTGATCTCCTCTGTGTCATACATTTCCCCTTCTGTACTGGGTTATTCCTGTCAGTGTGTACCTGTGCTCCTACAGGCTCCCCTTCAGCTGCTGGTCTCTTTCCCTTGCCCAAAGCGCTATGGATATTCTAGTTCTATTTCTTTCTGCTTTCTCAAACCATCCTAATCTGGCTTTTGCGTGCCCCACCCCCCATCCTCTACAGCTCTTGTCAGGGTCATCATTTATCTCTGATTTTCAGTCCTCACCCTTCTTGACAGAACAGTTGTGCTTCTTGATTGTGTCCTTCGGCTTGGCTCAGAGACCACCTCCTCCTGGCTTCCCTCCTACCTCTCTGGTTGCTCCCTCTCAGAGACTTTGCTGATCTCTCCTCATTTCCCTGTCTTATGTGCTGGTAGCTCCTAGGACTCAGTAAATGGCCCTCCTCTCCTCTTCATTCACGCTCAAGGCATCTCAGCCAGTCTTAGGGATTCTGAAACTATATGCTGACACTTCCCGAATGTCCACCTCTAGCTGAAACCTCTCCCTGAACTCTTGAATTTTCCCCATCTGCCTAGTCTGCCTTCTACTAGGATGGCCAGTAAGTATCTCAACACGTCTGTGGTGGTGTTTCTACTTACAATACTTCAGACACCAAATGTGTTGTGTTTTTTTCCCCACACCAACCAAATTCTTCAACTCTCCAGACACCAACTGGTTGTTCTGTAATTCAGTTCAGTTCTGACACTAACTACCTAGATTTAGTGAGTGCTGCAGAGGTTAAGGGTGCAGTTCCATGGCTGCCCCCTCTTCAGATGCCAGTCAGAAGTCCCAGGTTGCCACCTGTACTTCTGACCAACCAGCTATAAATTCAGTGTTCCAATGACCACCTCCTTAATTTTGAAAATTACCTCTAATGTCTTACAGAACTTAAGGAAACACTTTGCTTGTATTTACTGGTTTATTATAAAGGACACAATTTAGGAACAACCAGATAGAAGTGATAAATAGGGCAAGGTATGGGTGGAGGGGTGCAGAGCTTGCATGCTGTCTCCAGTGTGCCACCTCCTAACACCTTGGTGTGTTCATCAACCTGGAAGCTCCCCGCTGCCTTGTTCAGGAGTTTCTGTGGAGATCCCATCACGTAGGCATGCTTGGTTAAAGGCCATTGGTTATTGACTCAATCTGTAGTTCCATTTCCTTCTCTAGAGGTTGAGAGATAGGGCTGAAACTCGCAATCCTCTAATTAAGGCTTGGTTTTTCTGATGGACTAGTGGTCCCCAGCCACTAGTCATCTCATTGGCATACAAAAGCCATTCTTGTCACTCTGGGGATTCCAAGGTTTTTAGGATCTATGTGTCAGGAACTTGAGACAAACTTCGGCTTGGCTCGGAGACCACCTCCTCCTGGCTTCCCTCCTACCTACCATGAAGCTCAGGTAATGGCATCTTGCAGCTGCCACAGGGCTTTTGAACTTGTCACTCCCCGTTTTATAGCAGTGCATTTAGCAGCTGCCATACTATGCCCTTACCCTTCATTTATGATCTGTTTCCCAGACAAAATGTTAGCTCTTATTCCCTCCAAATATATGATTGCTTGGGCCAAAATCTTTGGATTCATTTTTGGCCTTTCTCCTTCTTGTACACCACACATCTTGTCCACCAGCAAACCCATTGGCTTCACCGCAGAACACATAGAGAATGTTGCCGCTTGTTACCACTTTTGATGCAAGCATTCTGGTCCAAGCCCACCCTGTTTTTCTTGTGAATTATTCAGTAGTCTTCTAAATTGTTTTCAGGTGACTTAAAAAAAAAAAATGTCGGTCCACGATGTTCTTTCCAAATCCTCCCGTAGTCCCCCTTCCTCATTTCATCAAAGCCCACAGGCTTTTCCTTATCAGATTCTGGGTGACCTCTTTGTTCTCTTTTGCTACTTTCCCCCTGAAGCTCAGGTAATGGCATCTTGCAGCTGCCACAGGGCTTTTGAACTTACTGTTCTTTGCCTAGACTAGTTTTTCCCCAAGTGTCTGCAGGGGCTATTCTTTTGATTCCCTCGTGCCTCTGCTCCAGTCTCACCCAATCAATGAAACCTTTTCTGACACCTTTTATAAAGTAGCAGCCCTTCCCTGCACCCTGCCTGGCCCTCTTTGTCTCTGTAACCTACTATGTATATTTGATAGCATTTTATACACTTGTCGTCTTTTCCCCTGTAGAATGCAAGCTGCGATGACTGGGACTTTAATCTGTTCCCTCCTCTGCCTTTTAGCAGCTGAGCTAGTGGTGGTTCTGTCCCTTAATTTCACAGATGGGAAAACCAGAAGACAGGAGCAAGTGCATGGATGATGCTTAACAGAGAGCCGACCACCCAGCACAGTGCTCTTCCTTTTTATTGTCACTCCCCCTGTTTTATAGCAGTGCATTTAGCAGCTGCCGTACTATGCGCTTACCCTTCATTTATGATCTATTTCCCAGACAAAATATTAGCTCTTATTCCTTCTGTGTCTCCTGCATCTAGAAAAGAACCTGGCACATGGGCGGTGCCTGACAAATGTTTGTTCAGTGAATGAAGTTTGAGTGGGCTGCCTGGGACTGAGGACTGGCTGACTCCTGCGGGCAACCCTACACGCTACCCCAGTGACTTTCAGATGCCGGTGTGCTTTACATTCTGGGGGGACATCGTTAAATGTACCCAATCTTGCTGACTTGAACTGTTGACAAACATAAAGAGTTACCCATCCAGAGAGAGACCCTCATCGTAGTGTTCCACATCACTTAGATTGTGGGAAATCTTAGTTAATCCCAGATGAAATGCAGGTGGTTGCTTTTGAGCCCTGGCTCTCATTCCAGTTACTGCTCCCTAATGTACCTAGTCCACCTTTTCGCCAACGCATATGCCCGTTTCTTTCTGTTCCCCTTCCCTAAGGCCTCCTTTTCCCTTTCTTTGGCTATTTTTATACTTTTTGTTTACCAAATTGACCTTAACTAAATTCAAACCTACAAAGAGTGGGTTTGTCTTGTTTTCCCAGCAGTTAGAGTTTCCATAAAATTCTGAACACAGGTCAGGAGAAGTTGAAGCCTGTTTAGGACAGGGGATCTGGGATTCATTAAGAGCAAGGGACTCCCTAACACCAGGCTGCGTTGTTTGTGAGGCATCATCTCAGCCACTAGCCATTTAATGATTGCAGTGGCCTGGCCATGTGGGCAGGCCAGCAACTGATGTGGTTGTTTTTCAAAGGAAGAAGCCAGGCTCTTGGGGAGGAACAAGACCCCTACTACTACATCATTGCCAGTGCAGGTCTCAGCTGGACCTTGAGCCTCAGCAGTTCAGGGTGGGATGATGGAAAGTGACTTTGTTAGCAATTCAGCAGACATTTACCAAGAGCTTCCTGTAGGCCTGGGTCCCACAGTCACATACTCACAAGCTGAGATGCTCAGAGCCCCCTGCCTGCTGTGTGATTCCACTGTGTTTCCTTAGGCGAGTCAGTGCTGCCTTCTGGTTTCTCCATCTGAGAAATGAATATTAGCCTTTAGTTTATGTCTTTTCTTTCATTTATTTTTAAAGCTTCCTATTCTGTGGCCAAATCTAGGGCTCTGTGTTGGCCTTGAGTAAGTCAGCACCTGAATTCACTCCTTCTTTATGATATGGGCTGACAACTCCAACCATGGCTTAGCTTACAGGGCCATTCTTAGAATCAGAATAATAGTTGTGAAGGTGATGTCAGTCAAATGTAAAGATTATATAAAAATGAATTTCCAAAGTTAGATTTTACTCCTTGAAATATACTTATGAGGCGTGTAAGGCAGGAGGAGAATTGTCATAATGAATATCAGTAATCTTTTGTTTGTCCTCTGCGTCAGAGAACAGAAGGTTTTGATTTAAACTTGTAAACAATGATTCAGATTTCTCCCTGCAGGGCTTAAAGAAGACATGTGTGACCATGGACCAGGAACGCCCACGCTCTGATCTCAGCATAAACAGCAGAAATGATCTACGCAAGGTTTTGCATCTTGAATTTCTGTACAAGGAGAACAAGGTATGTGCTTTTTTTTTTTTTTTTTAAGGTGTGGTGTGGCATCCTGGAACTGAGTTTGGTGATGCCAAAGCAGTCATGGGCCCTACCAATGATGGCAAGAGGCTTGGGAAGCTCTTGGCTTGCCATGCCTGTGGTCAGAGAGAAGTAGACCCAGCCAAGTGCTGACAGATCCTGTGAGCTGGTTTTCAGCCTCAGTCAGCTCGTGCTACACATTGGTGTATTGAGAGCGTATGTATATGAGGTGGGTAATTAGGCTTATTTTGAACCTGAGCCTGTGGCTGTGTTCAGCCTTTGATAGTTATTCCCTGGTCTCCCTCCTTCCTATACAAGGCTATTTTTAGAATACAGTATTCCGTTATAGTAAAAATTTCCATTCCCTGCTTGCATAAGATTTTCCTTGTTTGGTTCTGAGTAATGCCTTAGTCTTAAGTCTACCGTGAACATATAACACAGGCAGAAGAGGGATTTGGGTTCAGCTAACCCAGGTGCATTGGAGTTGAGAAAACAATTGGAACAGCACTTCCTCAAGTGGGAAGGACAACTTCCCTGATCCCCCAGACTTGATCTTTCCTTACCTGCTCTTCCAGGCTTTTGTGACCCTTATAGTTTTCCCTTTTTTGTCTTTAGCACATGGGTAATAGGATATTTGTGTGATTGTTTAATTAGTACCAGCCTCTGCTACTACTTTAGATGTACAAAGGCCAAAAATGAAGCCTTTTTTGTTCACTGTTTAGTTGTTATATTCGCAGATCTAAGTGTTGTCTGATGACATAGTGAATAGTCAGAATTTAATTGTTCAATGAATGAGTGAATGACAGAATGAATGAATATGTGAATGAATGAAGCTACAATTCCACCTTCATTGGTCTTTATGAAGACAGAATCCTCTAATTTGACTAAAGAATCGGCTGTCCATCAAATGTTGCCTGGTGATTGGGCACCGTGTCAGAGCCAGAAAAAAAATGATGATCAATCATGTAGTTCCGCACTTACCACAATTCTAAAAAAAATCACTGAAATGACATCTCATGCAGAAGTTCAAAAATATGCAAAATAGAGAAGGGAAGTGGCCTTGTTGCCCTCTTTGAAGTGGGGAAGAGGTGGTCCTGCCTCAGCTGCCCAGTTAACCCTTTGACTGCGGAGAGCACTCAGAAATGACATGTGGCTGCTGGTGTCGTTCCCACCACCAAATGAACATCTGAATGTCTTGTTTAATGCCTATAGGCGGTGCTCTTCACAGTCAAAAGGTTAAGATGCTTTGAACTACTGCTGTAATCACCTCCCCTCTCTGATGCATATATATATATATATATATATATATTTATTTATTTATTTTTTTTGAGACAGAGTCTTACTTTGTCATCCTTGGTAGAGTGCTGTGGCATCATAGCTCCCAGCAACCTCAAATGCCTGGGCTCAAATGATTCTCTTGCCACAGCCTCCCAAGTAGCTGGGACTACAGGCACCAGCCACAAGGCCGGGCTAATTTCAGAGACGGGGTCTTGCAGTCTTGCTCTTGCTCAGGCTCGTGAGCTCAAGCCATCCACCCACTGTAGCCTCCCAGAGTGCTAGGATTACAGGCATGAGCCACCTTGCCCAGCCCTGGTCAAGCATATTTTAAATGTAATCTATTTTCCAAAGACATAGGTGTGGCGTGTCATTTTCAGATTGAGTTGGTATGGAGGTGGCACCAAGGCTATTTTTGAGACACCTGGAGGAACCTCATGGAGAACCATGCAAATATGTGCCATAGGTTAGGGAGGAACTCAGGCCAGACTTTTCTCAGTGAAGTAAAAGATGGAATTTCAGGTAAACCTATAGACTTAACTCACCTCTGGGAGCACTCAGGTTGCCAGACATTCTTGTGTTCCCCTTTAAGGAGATGCAGGAAATGGCAGCCGGCCAAAGTCCTATCAGAGCTTGGTAAAGGCATCAAACAGATGGCTTTGGTTTTTTATGACCTGGGTGACACTCAGGCACCTCCCTCTCCTATGTACACTCATCTGATGTCTTGTGGAAAGAAGACCCCTGACCTAGGCAGCAGCAGATATTCTGTAATCCTCCATTTGCTGTATTCTAAGGGGGAAAAAGAATGTACATTTCAAGAAGATTTTGCTCAGAGAATGAGACAGCTACTCGGAAAATTCAATTAACCATTCTGGGTATATCAGGATTTTTATGTAAATTGTACCATATCCAATTTCCCAGAAGTATTTTTGCCATTCAAGTTACTTTTTATTCCCTTAATAATCTCCAGTAACAGTAAGGTAACTGTTATCTTAAGGTACTTAAGATATTTTCATTAGATCTTGATAAGTGCCATGATTATTTGGTTTGTACAGCAGTTATTAGCTGTTATACAATGAATTGGAGCCTATATTTTACAGAAAAATGTACTTATTAGTTTACTTATTGCATAATAATTTTATCATTCACTCAGTGCAAGGGTAGCATGATTCTAGGAAAGCCCAGAAATTTAGTGCTAGTATTCCCAGTAACTTGTTTTTCCCTTTTAGGAATGTAGTAGTTACAAATGCCTATGCAAAATTGAGTTTTTGGAAAATGATATCTAGATTCATATAAAGGCTGTGTCTGTGGTGAGCCCAATGATATGAAAAAGCTTCAGGTATAAATCAGGCAACCCAGGGCCTTGAATCTCTCTTACTGAGAGAAAAAGCAAGAAGGCTGAAATAAATGATATTAATTATATAATACCTTTTCTCCAACTCTCTTCATGGTAAATGTTGTCTTCTTCAAAATAGTTTTTTTTTTTTTGTCTCATACTAGAAAAGTAATAAAACTGCCCCTGACTTTGACTGATACATCTGTTGAATTTGGTCATAGCTCAATGGCTGTGTGTCTTAATCCTAGAGTTCTGATACAGAAAAGAGGAGAGGACTTGGCATGCCCCAAGGGGCCCATCTGCCAGGCTCCTTGTCAAATGCTTTGCTACTTTGATCGCAGAAGCATTGAATGACCACAGCTCAGTAGAACTTATGTGTTTCCGGGTGAGTGGGCTGGGAACTGACACAAGGCTGGGTTCCTGAGGCCTGCCTGTGGTTCATTGCTTGAATAGCTGTGTCTGTCCAAATTACTTAGGGGAATTTTAAAAGAAATCAGAGCTCCAATCTTTGCTGTTTTGACTTAGTAAGTCTCAGTGGAGTGTAGGAATCCATAAACAAACAAACAAACAAAAAAAAACCCTCCAAAAGGAATATTTGGTACAGACAAAGCTGGACAATACTAATACCATTTATTTCCAAAACTTGCTACTGAAGAATTCCACTTACTTTCTTTTTAGGGTTCACATGTAAACTGAGTCACTCCTGACTGCCTCTCTATGCCCATCACATTAACCTGCTGCCTCAGTTCTTACTATTATTGCTGGTGTCCAGTGTTGAATGCAGAGCTCTCAAATTACAAAAATGTTCACGCCCCAAATGCTTACAAATTTGCAGAGTTAGTGTTCCTTACAGACTTAATTTTTTTTTAAGTGAAAGGATGTCTATATATTAAAAAGTTATTCATAGGAGCAAAATACATGGAGGAAATTTGCTTGGATTTTATTTTTGAGATAGGGTCTTGCTCTGTTGCCTTGGCTGGAATACAATGGTGCCATCGTAGCTCACAGCAACCTCAAACTCCAGTGCTCAAGCGACCCTCCTGCCTCAGCCTTCTGAGTAGCTGGAACTATAGGTACACGCCACCATGCCTGGCTAATTTTTATTTTTTGTAGAGAAAGGGTCTTGCTTTGTGGCTTAGGCTGCATGTCCCATTTTATAATAATTATTCATTGAATTACCTGACCCATGCATTGGGTGCTAGTTTTTTTCGGGTAGAGTTTTGTCTTATCTCTGCGTCCCTATCTGGCATAGGATATGTGAACATAGTCCATGTAATAGGCAGCTAGTGAACAATTGCTGAAAGCTGGTATGAATGAGGAGTTAATAAGCCTATGCCAAAGATGTGGGATAGTTTTTTTTGTTTCCTCCTTTCTCCTGAAGCTGTATATATAGTTAATGATTTTGTTTTTCTCTCCTAATTATAGGCAAAGGAAAATCCTCTAAAAACAAATCTTGAACTCATTACCAGATATTTTCTGGATCACTTTGAAAATACAGCTAACAGTTTTACTCAAGAAACCCCAATCCCTGCACTCTCAGTTCCAAAGAAAAATAACAAATTACCATTGAGAAGTTCAGAGACCACACTGGTAAATATATATGACCTTTCGGATGAAGATGCAGGATGGAGAATGTCATTGTCAGAAACAAGCAAAGCCAGGTATCTCTTCCCATTTACTCTGTGTATTAGTTTCCTATTGCTGACATGACAAATTACTGTAAATGTAGTGGCTTCTCAGTCCGTATTCTCCAGAGAAACAGAGTCAGTAGGGTGTGTGTGTGTGTTTGTGTGTGTATATATGCATATGTACATATGTGTGTATACAAAGAGGTACCCAACATATGAAGGGCAGACTGGAAGGCTGCAAACTCAGATAAGATTTTTTGAGACAGAGTCTTACTCTGTCACCCTTGGTAGAGTGCTGTGGCATCCCAGCTCACAGCAACCTTCAACTCTTGGGCTTAAGCGATTCTCTTGCCTCAGCCTGCCAAGTAGCTGGGACTACAGGCGCTAGCCACTAAGCGTGGCTATTTTTTGTTGCAATTGCCAATTCTGTTTTTTTTAACTGCCCAGGGCTGGGTTCAAACTCACCACTCTCGGTATATGGGGCTGGCGTCCTACCCACTGAGCCACAGGTGCTGCCCTGAGATAAGATTTTAATGTTACAATTTTAAAAGGTTCTTTGGGGAACCTCTTAAAGCCTTTAATAGGATGAGGCCCACTCACATCATTAAGGATAATCTGGCTTACTTAAAGTCAACTAACTATAAATGTTTATCACATTTACAAAATACCTTCACAGAAACACCTAGACTGATATCTGACTAAGCAACCAGTCCCCATAGCCGGGCCAGACTGACATGTAAAATTTAATCATCACAGTGGCTTGAAGCAACAAAAACTTACTCTCTTACAGTTCTAGAGGTCAGAAGTCACAGTGGGCTACAGACAAGATGTCAGCAGGGCTGGTGCCTTCTGGAGGTTCTGGGGGCAGAGTCCATTTCATTTTATTTTTTAGCTTGTAGAGACCACTTATGTTCTCTGTCTCCCAGAACTTTCTTCCATCCTAAAGCACATCACTCCATGCTCCGCTTGTGTCCTTATACTACGCATCTCCTAACTTTAATCACTAACATACCTCCTAATAAGGATGCTTGTGATTATGTTGGGCCCACCAGAGAATCCAGGATGGTTTCCTCATCTCAAGATTCTTATTTGATCACATCTACAAAATTCCTTTTATCATGTGAGGTAACATATTCCTAGATCCCAGGGATCGGGGTGTGGATATTTTGGGGACAATCATTATTCAGCTTCCCACAATCTGTGCTTTCAAAATCTCTGTCTTGGAGCACTGTGATTTTCCTGTAAGACTGTGAGAATAGACTATTTTGTGATGGAGAATACTTATGATTCAAAATGTTTATTTTAAATCTCATGATTTGTAAGGTTCAGGGGCTTGCTTTGTTTAATTTTCCTAAAAATAGGGGTACAGTATTCTGAAAGGCCAAAACAAAACAAAACAACCCACCGTGGAGATGGGAAAAAGGGGAAAAATCAGGTCTTTTGAAATCTCAGGAAGAAATGAATTGGTATTCTTGACTGAACCTCTATTATCTGGAGAACATTAAATTATAACCTTAATCCACTACATGTAGTCACCAACAATGTGCTTAACTTCCTGGGAACGGGTATTTTCTTTGGTTTCTGTTGAAAGCCTTTCCTTTTCTGAGGCTAGCTGAAGCTCAGGGCATGGGTATCTAGCTGCCAAAAGGTGGGACGATTGCAAACAGCTCAAAGCTGAAGATGTGAACAGTCATAAGGTGGTATGAAGAAGCTCCTCTTCTGAAGGGCATACTGCCTAGCTGAGAAATTAAATATTTCTGATACAACTAAAAAAAAAAAGGGCAAGGAAACACTGAAAGCTCCTGAGTCCTACCCACTTACTCCAGCCTAAACCTTGGCCGTTCTCCTTGATTCTTTCTCATCTGTCATTTTCTGTATCCTTGAGTCCTGTTAGCTCTTCATTCCTAGTGATGCTAGATTCTTTCCCCTTTTCCCTGCCCTGTTGGCAACGGCCTCAGTTCCCCAGGCCTTTGTTTTCTTGGATAACTCACACAGGTTCTTCCTTCCTTGGTCTTTAGGCCTCTGGTGATCTTCTCCAATCCACCCTCTAAGATAGTGTGAGCTTTCCACAGAACAAGTCTGGCCATGCTGTTCTCTGCTGAAAGGCCTTCAGAGATTCCCCATAGCTTTCAGAATAAAATCCAAACTCCTAGGATAACCTCTGGAGACCCCTGTGTGACCAGCCCCTGCTGCTTGCTTGAGCGTGTCCTACCTCACAGTTCAGTGTGTGGGTGCCCAGGCCCTGTCCTGGCTACTTCCTGCTTCATAATTCTCTCAGGCTAAAGTGCTGTCTTCACTGAGAGCCCTTCTGGATTTCCTGAGGCTAGCTCCAGCCTGTTCCTTGATATTCCCCACTCGCAGCAGGCAGACCACCCTCCCACGTGTGACCCAGTGCTTGGTGAGCACGTTGCGTAGAGTAGGTGTCAGTTTCCATTTATGCCAGAGCCCAGTGGTAGCAAATAGTGGAGCTTATGTCAGAGGAATGCTGGCCTCTGAGTGAGCACAGGTGAGATTCTCTTTCACCTGGGTCTCTAGCTTTGTTTTTTGGGTCACCTGGGTCTCTAGCTTTGTTTTTTGGGCTTTCTCTCTTGTTCTTTCTCACTCCTTTCTCTCTCTCACTGTTTCTCAACTTCTTTGGCTCTTTCTTTCTTTCATGCTTGGTACCAAAGTATTTTCTATTCTTTTCTCTTCATGATGAAGCACTGCCTGATTAGAAATCATCATATATTTATGAATAAGCTTGCTATGAGTGCCTGCTGAATGAGTCTCTTTTAATGGAAATATTCCTTTTTTACAGGCATGAAAATCTTGATGGGGATGTATTTGGTAATTTGGTGTCATCCAAAAAACCCTCACACAAAAGTAAGCCCATGCAGACGGTCCCAAGTGGAAGCCCCACCTTGGCTTCTGTTCAGGGGCACATGGAAAGGCATCATTCATCAGAGCCTTCCTTGGATGCAAAGAGGATGGGAGAGAAGACCAGGCCCAAGTCTGGCCTGATCGTGCGTGGCATGATGGCTGGGCCCACCGCCAGCTCCTCGCAGGTGGGGCTGCCGCCCTTTCTGTTGTTCTGAACTTGGAGGGTGAGGGTTGGGCCAGGCTTCAGGAGCACTTGGGTTTGTTTATTTGGGGTGTCCTATAACACAGCCCAAGATGGTGGGATGTGGGGGCATGAGTGGGAGACCTGCGTCTGTCTTCTCCCTGTCTTTACTGTCAGTGACCCATGGGGCTTGAGCAGCCCTCATCTTCCTGTCCTTCATTTACCCAGCTTGTCTGTGAGGCAGATGCCATAGTTTTATATTCCTTTGCCAAGTGAGAACACACCTATCCAGCTTTGTCTTTGCAATTCAGGAGTGGAGTACCTGTCCAAGTTTAGAGAAAAACTTAAAAAAATTTTTAATAATCATGAGAATTAAAAGGGATTAGAAACCTTAATATATATATATTTTTTGTTCTGCATTTTATTTTCTCTTTCTCTTAAGCAGGAGGATTAGACCAAATGAGGGAAAAAGTGAATAGGAGTTTGCAAAACAAACAAACAAACAAACAAAGTGAAATCTAACATCAAACTCAAAAGTGTAGTATCAATCCAATCAGGCAGCCTCAGCAAACCAAAAATAGCTTGTCAGTATCCATGGCCAGCCACCTGTGCTCCCTTACCTGCCATATGCTTAATTCAGGTACAGAGAGTGGCACTACTCTCTCCATTCATATGTCACTAGGACAGAAAGCAGTGGATCTTCTTCCTGCTTTTACCTCCATCTTGTGGGATCTTTGGTCAAGGTTTTTATTTCTCTTGCCTGTGGCCTCTTGTGAGACCAGCTGTGTTAGGTCCCTTGGGGCTCTGGAATTTTAGATCATTTAGTCTTGGTGTCTAGATCGAGGAAGAGAGAGTCTGCTTGCCTCTGTGTGATTTAAGCCACACTTTGATGTCATGTTCTATCCCAGGTGTCTTGTTGAAGGAAGACATTTATAAATGAGACCCGATCCAGAGGAGAGGGCTAGGAAGGTGAAGAGTTTGGAGGAAATTAAAACATTAGGAGATGATCAGTCTGGTTGGAGGTTTGCAGAATGTAAGAGATCTCTTCAAATATGGATGTTGGAATAGTCTACTTCTGTGGGAGATGAACCCTGTTAGCAAGCTTGAGCTTAGGCTCTTAGTCCCCTGAGAACAGGGACTTTGTTGTGTTTGTGTGTAGTGCATGGGGTGTGTTTTTTGGTCCTTTGTTGGATCAAGTGGTGTAGACTTGGCTGCAGAGAACACCGTTGGTACAGTGGGCAGGGGTCAGTATAGGAGCCCTCAGTCAGAGCTGCCTTAGGAGTAAACAGCATGTTTTGGGAGGGACTAGGCCAGTTGTGTTAAGGAGAAGCCAGGTACCCTATCTGCTAGGGATACTGTTGAGAGGGTCCTGTCTGGTTAAGAGATGTTATCAGTGGTTCTCAGAGTTGTTAGTCTAAGAATCTCTTTATAGTCTTAAAATTACTGAAGAGCCCAAAGAGCTTTTATTTATGTGGGTTATGTCTATTGACATTTATTGTATTAGATATTAAAATTGAGAAATTAAAAAAAATTTACTTAATAAATAGGTAAAAATAATAGTAGTGAACCCACTACATTTAGCACAACATTGAAAACTTTTTCTATTTTTTTAGAGATGAGGTATTGCTGTATCTGCTCAGCTGGCCTCAAACTTCTGAGCTCAAGCAGTCTTCCTACCTCAGCCTCCTGAGTAGCTGGGACTACAGGTGCACACCAGCACACCCGGCCTTTCCATAACATATTTTTCATGAAAAATTAACTATATTTTCCAAAACAAAACATTTGTGAGTTAAGTGGCATTCTTTTATAGTTATTGCAAATCTCCTTAATGTCTGGCTTCTGCATTCAGTCTGTTACAATATGGTGTTTTGGTTGAAGTGTATGAAGAAAATCTACCTCACACAGATAAGCAGTTGGAAAAGGCTATTTTCGTAGCCTTTTCAGAAAATTAAGGTATTCTTCTTTGATCCTAAGCTGACACTAGACAAGGTATAGTTTCTTAATGTGCAATCTTAAACTATATTAAAGAACTTTTTGTATTTTGTCAGTGTCCATTGGTCTGTCTCCACTCTGAATTTTGTATCCTGCATGATTTACTAATGTGATGGATGGACATTTTATTATTAAGAAAGATCACAGCAAAAAATTACATTCATTGGAAAAGTTTTTAAGTATCGCAGAGCCCTCCAGCTTACCATAGCAGATATAAGTTTTCCAAAATTTTAATTTTTACCTGACAGCTTGTATTTTATCACTGCAGTGACACACACCATTTGTTTCTCCTGAAGCAACAGGCTCAACTGATTTTTTTAAAAAGGCCTTCCAAATACTCAGTGCTGAACAACCATGTTTTGTCTGTCAGTGGTCCCATGGAGAACTCAGCAAGTTCACTCACAGCTTAGATGGTCACACGCTGCCAACGCATCCTCTACTCTCAACCTAGTGCTTTATGTGTACCTGCATGTGGTCACACAGACTACTGAAAGATATGTGCGGTGGAGTCTAGCCTGAGTAAAATCAATCATTTTTATGCATTAGCATGGACATTGTTCAGTGAAATTGGCACTTCATTCATTTATTTTTATTGCAAGTGGCTGGTGGTGAAGAATAGCACCAGAGTACTAGTGAAGTTTGACGACACTACCTTGATTCATTGGCAGGGCCAGCAGTTTTTCCTATTGTTGCTTTGAATGTAAAGACAACAGAATGAAAAAAGGCAAATCGTGTCATTTTATTACTAAGAAAATAGTTTCAAATTCTGTAAAATGGTCTGGGAATTCCTAGGGGTCAGTGGACCACCCTTTGATAACTAGTGGACTAGATGATGACAGGGTCCTGCCCTATCACTATATCCTAAGCATCAAGTGCATGCAATTGAGACCTTCTTTGTGACTGTGGTGTGAGGAAGATGACATGGACCTGCTTTACTGTCAAGGGCATTGATGCACACTGCTCCTTTTGGTAATGATTTTGAGTTGTGGGGTTTTCCCCTGGAGTATCTGAATCCTATGAAGAGCATTGAAGGGTGAGTTGCTATAGAATTTTGCTATATTTTCTGGAAGGCATTTTGTAGTCCTTTGAGTACCTTGGCCATACTTAATGGTTGTCAAGAGAAAAGAACCAGGGGTTGCTTGGGTAGTTCATCATTTTTATTGCTAGATCAGCTTTGTACTTAAGGGTGACTTAAGAGGCTCGGCTCCCTGCAGCAGCTCTAGCTTCCCAGGGCCAGAAGTTTGAGTCTCCTTGGAATTAGTGCTGAATGTCTTCCTCACTCTGTGCAGGGGATGCCCTGGGTGGCCTTTGGAGATAGTTTATAGTGCCCATTAATTTCCACTAGGACATAACTATTATAATTAGCTTTTCTTATTCTAGCTCTGGCTTTACCATTTAGTCATGAATTACTTCTGAACATCTTAAGAGGTACAGAATTTTAAGCCAAGGGTAATCCCAGTAGGTCTGTTTTTGCTCCTTTCCATACCCTCTACCCACCACTGATTAGTAAGGATCTGAGTTTCCATTTCATCAATTTATCATTGAGAGTAAGAGGGGATATTTCAGTTGTTTCTTCTGGAATTACTTTATTTCAAAAATTAAGCAAATCATGAGTGTTTACTGGGTAGAGGTCACTGGGCTAGGAGTTGTGTGGACACCAAATATGAGTTGAAGAATGGCTTCTGTCATTTCTGGTCTGCCATCAGAAGAGGCTTGAGACCATGTGTAGGTTGGGGGCAGGGCAGACGAGTACAGGAGTAGTGAGCGTTTGTTGACTGTTGCTGTATGCCTAGCTCTGTGCTAGCACCTTACAAGTGTCTCACATAATCCTTACCTGGTCTTGTGGGAGATAAGTACTACAGGTGCCCATCCCTCATCCAAAATCTTCGGGCCAGATGTGCTTTGGAAGTTAGATTTGTTTTTTGTTTTTAAAGAAAGGAAGTATAGTGGGTGAACCACACCACATAGGGTAGTGTAGCACCCATAAGCAAAAGACCTTACTATTTTTGCAGCTAACCATATGAATACTCATACTTTTAAAGAGATTGTAAGCAACCTCACAATAGTTAAAAAGGATTTGCCACAGGAGTTCAAAAGTAACTTTCATTTCAGAGGTTTTGGAATTTGGAAATGACAGGTATTGGATTATGGACTGGTTATGTTATTAATAGGTAAGAAAGTGAGGGAGGAGAATTTAGGTGATTTGCCTAGGTGACACAGCTGGTGGGAGTGCTGTGGGAATTAGAAACTGGAGTGACAGCTTTACCTGCCAACTGAACTTGCTGGCCATAAGGGGTGTGAGGGAAAGGCTCTGTGCTGGAGTTCTTTCTGAGGGGTTGTGTATCAGCTAAAGCTTCACAGAGGAGGGAGCATTTGAGTAGCATCTCAAAAAATGCAGAGTTGGACATGCAGAAAGCTCTTCCTGGGGAAGGGAAAAGCATGGACAAATGCTTAACATGAGATCAAGTATTTCCCAGCTCCCTTAGAAGGGGTCCTCACTGCTTTTGTCCTTGTCCTTTCAGGATTCTTTCTGCAAACGCTCTCTGAGGAGGTCCCCAGCTTTGAGCAGCACCACGCAGCCCCAGGAAGAGGAGAGCCAGAAGGTACCGGAGCTTGCCTCCCGTACCCCAGCCGGTCTAGCCCTGCAGGATGTCCAGGTTTCGAGCAATAGCTCCACCTCCAGGAGTCCCCTGGGTCAGCTAAGTGACCTGATCATAGAAAAGCAGAAAAACACTCCTAGTAGCCCCACCCACCTGCCCAGCAAAGGGCTGCCCCCAGGGGAGAAGGCCAGGTGGAGAGATCTTTCAGGGGACAGCCCAACAGTGGACGGCAACGCAGATGTGGACAGGATGCCCGTGAAGTGCTACTTGCCTGGTGGGAGTTCCAGGATGACCCAGGAGAGGCTGGAGAGAGCATTCAAACGGCAGGGCAGCCAGCCCCTGCCCGTCAGGTGAGCATGCTCTGCAACGCTGATGGTTTTTCAAAAACAAGTGCTACCTCTCACATGTTGACCAGTTGCTAAGAGAACCTTCTTAGTCCACAGGGACTTCTTAGGTGCCTTGGTCTCTCCATAGCAAACTGTGAGGTAAGTAGCAGGGTTGATTATGGCACACTGGGAAGAAAACTGAGCCCAGAGCTCAAGTACCCAAGGAGCTACAGGGGAGGTTACTTTGGCTCTTCTTGCTTCTTCTCAAAGCCAAAGAAAGCTTTAGCGGATGATCCTAAACAAACCCTACAGGGACATGGCCAGGCCCATGTGAATAAGCAGTGTTTTGTATGGGAGGCCAGAGATACGGTGATGTATCAGCTCCTACAAAGCTCCTATTGGACTTTATTTTAATCTATTTTTTAACCTTATCTTTACTTTTATTGCTTCACAGTGGGCATTAATGATTCCAATGTTTGATTTTTGAATGTTAAACCGCCTTATGTTCCCAGAATAAACCTGACTTGGCTGTGATATATTGTCTCTTTATATATCATTGGATTTGATTAATATTTCATGTATGGTTTCTATGTAAAAGTTCATGAAAAACATTGGGGGGGGCATATTTCCTTTCTTATGACAGCCTTGCTGTATTTTGGTAGGTTGTGATAGACATGGTCCTTCTTTTTCTATTCTCTCAAAGAGTTCTTGTAAGACTGGTGTTTTTTCTTCCTTAAGTATTTAGAAGAATTTACTGGAGAAAAACTTCTGAGCATTGGGCTGAGAGATTTCAAAAACTTTTTTAAATTCAAATTTTCAGTGTCTTCTTGTGTCCATTTTGGCCAGTTTATATTTATTTAAGGAGTTCGACCATTTTATTTGCATTTTAAATTTCTTAGTATATATTGTATAATAACACTGTCCTCTTATGTGGACCTTTACTGTGATGTCTCCATTTCATTCCTGATGTTGGTGGTTTGTGTTCTCTCTCTTCCCTCTTTCTCTTGACCAGTCTTGCTAGGAGTATATCCATTACATAATATTTTTGAAGAACCAACTTTTGGTTTTATATGCTTTCTATTTCATTGATTCTGCTCTTATTTTTTATTATTCTTTTCATTCTACTTTCTTTGAGTTTAATTTATTGTTTTCTAGTTTACTTATAAGGATCTTAACTGATTCTCAACTTTCTTCATTTGTAACACCTTTAAAAGTGACAGATTTCCCTCTAAGAAATACTTGGTCTGTGTTCCACAGTTAATATGTTATATATTCATATAATTTAGTTAAAATATTTTCTAATTCTCATTGTGATGTTTTTCTTTGACCTAGGAGTTATTTAGCTATATATTGACTAATTAAAAAAAATTGGGAGTGTATTTCTGGGTATCTTTTTGTTTGATTGATAGCTTATTTATACTCTGGTAATATAGGTGCTCTTTGTGACTTCAATTCTTTGCTATCTGTTGAGATTTCCTCATTGCTCTGTATATATTTAAAGCTGATTTCTTATAAGCAGCATGTATTTGGAGTTTCTAATCTACTCTGATAGTTTTTAATTTTAGTTGCAATAATTATGGCATTTACATTTTTCTTTTACTTAAAGAACTCCCTTTGGTATTTCTTTAGGGGTCTGTTAAACATTTTCTAGTTTTCGTTTGAAAGTGTCTGTATTTTGCCTTCATTTTTGAAGATATTTTTAATGGGTATTGAATTTTAGATTGGTAGCACGTATTTCAGCATTTTTGACATGTTATTCAATTGCCTTAGGCTTTCAGCATCTTTGTTGCTCAGTCACCTGACAGTTTTATTGTTAACCTTTGGAAGATAATGTATCTCTTTTTTTTTTTTTTTTTTGAGACAGAGACTCATTTTGTCCCCGTGGTAGAGTGCTGTGGCATCACAGCTCACAGCAACCTCAGACTCTTGGGCTTAAGCAATTCTCTTGCCTCAGCCTCCCAAGTATCTAGGAGTATAGGCACCTGCCACAATGGCCAGCTATTTTTAGAGACGAGGGCTTGCTCTGGCTCAGGCTGGTCGTGAACTTGTGAGCTCAGACAGTCCACCGCCTCAGCCTCCCACAGTCATTGTCATTTTAAAGTTCCTATCTAGTAACTCTGATATCTAGATCACCTATTGGTTTGTTGCTGTTGTCTATTTTTCTTTTGAATTTTGATAATTTTGTCGTATTTCTTGGTTTTTCTAGTAATTTTGATTAAATCCCAGACATTATATATAAATAATTGAATAGGGTCTGGTTAATGTTACCTTCCTCCAAAGAGGACTAAATTTCCTTTTGGTAAATATGAATCTCTTATTATAATAGTTTTAGACTGTGTAAAATATCTTTTCTCATTGTGTTATGTGTCCAGTAACTTTGTCTATTATGTTCTTTGTTAAACTGAAATGCTTGCCTTGGGCATAGTCAAGCTCTTGTTTGGCACATGATTTATATTTTTAAAGTTTTCTTAAGTTCTTTCTTGCTTTTAGGTTTCAGTGATATTCTTCTATGTTTTTAATCTATTAACTTTGTAGGCTTAGCTTTTATAGTTAGGTATTTGATCTTTTATATTTGTTGGGATGAAAAGATCTGCTTTTATTTATCTTTGTATGGCAAGACACTTTCCCCAGCACCATCTACTGTATAATCCATTCTTTCCCCATTGATTTGTGAAGCTACTTTTACTTTCTACTAAGTTCTCGTGTAGACATGGTTCTGCCTCTGAGAGCTCTATTATATTTTGTTGGTATGCTTTTCTATTTATTTATTCAACTAGTTTTTCCCGGTAAAACCACATGACCACACTTTTGATTATTGTGGCCTCATGGTTCTGGCATAGTGTCATGATAGGGCATAGCCATCAGTTCTTCTTTTAGGAGTGGCGTAGCCATATACAGGTCTTTATTCTTTCTACAGTTCTGTTTTCTTGTTCACCCAAGGTCTGGCTTCTACATGAAGGAGAGCTGGCTTGTCCCCTTGCTGTATAAACAAGGGGACAAGACCCCCCAAAATCTTAGGACTGTCTCTTTCTTATCAGTGAGTTCTGTACTCAGAGTGGTTTTCTTTGACTAACTTTGCCTCTACTCCCTCATCTCCATCCTATCTTATTATTTTCACTGAACCTATCATTACCTGAAATTATTTTATTTATTCACTAATCTATTATTTGTCTTCTACAATAGGTTATAAATCTCATGGAAGCAGGGAACATTGTAATTTCTGCTCCAGGAACATTACCCTGGTGTGCACAAGGTACCCAGGGACTATTTGCTCACTGTTACTAATACTATTAATAACAACAGTAGCAATAAGAAAATCAGTAAGCTTTTGATATTAGTGCGTTTCGTGTAAAACATTGTTCTAAGTATTTTAGGTAAAAGTTCGAAGAGGGAAATATTCTAACTCCCACTTTATAGATGAGGAAATTCATTCATAGAAGTCACTTTATTTACTCAAGTTTATACATCTAGTAAGAGGCAGAGCAGGGATTTGAACCCAGGAAACCACCTCCAGAGTCTAGTGATGGAGCTTACCCTTCCAGTGGGAGGAGGCAGCCCACCACAGCAACCACCACCAAGCAAGCAAATATATAACGTATCTGAGAATTAGCAGTGCCACCAGGAAAAATAAATCATTGAGGAGTGACAGGGAGCCCTGGAGGACAGAGCTGCTATTTTATAAAGGAGTAACCAGGGAAAACCTTTTAGAGAAGGTAACACTTGAGAGGAGCCCAGGACGGAGGTACGGAACAAGCCCTTTTATACATGGGAGCAAATGCAAAGAGTGAGCAGTCAGGCATGGGCCCTGCAGAGAGAGCATGTTGCTGGCTGAAGCTGGAGTGGATGAGGGAGAGGGAAGAGGAAGTGGGGGAGGAAGAAAGGGCTCTGTCGTGTAGGGCCTGGGAAGCTGCTTGAATGCATTGGCATTTACTTTAGACATATGGGAGCCTTTGGAGGTTGAGCAGAGGTATGCCATGATCTGAATTATGTTTTAATAGGATCTCTGTAGCTGCTGTGTTGAGAATAGATTCAAGGAGACAAGTGTGGATGTAGGGAGACCAGTTAGCAGGTGACTGCAGTAGTCTAGAAGAGAGCTGATGGTGGTTTGAATCAGGCCAGAGGCAATGAAGGTGATGACACATGACTTAGGATATATGTGAATACATATGCATACACACACACACACAGTCACTTAACAACAGGGGTATGTTCTGAGAAATGTATCATTAGGTGCTTGCATCATTGTGGAAACGTTGTAGAGTGTACTTACACAAACTTAGATGGTACAGCCTACTACACCTGTAGGCTATATGGTATAGCCTATCCCTTCTAGGATACAAACCTAGGCAGCATGTTACTGTACTGAATACTACAGGCAGTTGTAACACAATAGTGGTCAGGGGACCATGTACTTGGAGTCCACATATGTGAGCAGTGAGTTGCCCTATTGTGACAGGACGATTCTCTTCAGGCCTTGGGGGTCTTACTGAAGCCGTTAAGGGATTGTCTTTCAGAGGGTTATTATTAGAGCTCAAGTTAGTAGGATTGCTCACTGTTTGATGACAATGAAAGTAAGTCCTTGTCTTGCCTTTAAGTTGAGCGCCTACGTGTCCTGTGCTTACAGGTGCAATTCTGCCTTGATCAGATCTCCACCCTCTATGTGCCTCTCTGCTCCTGTCTGTAAATGTTGGGTAGGCTGCTCTCTAGGGGCTCCCCAGCTCTCATCTCTACACATGGACTTGGGCCGGCCTAGACCAGACTTCTGACTTCTTTTGTGATCCAAGGATCGCAGTTAATACTGCTGACCCCTGAGGCTCATTTGTATAAATGATGAACAAATAAACTAGGCCTTTGTGACTTTGGAGTCCCTCCTAGATTGCAGGCTCCTCCAAGCTCGTATAGTGCATAGTAAAAAGATTTAGCAACCTGCTAAAAAGGATTTAGCACTCCAGCCCAGAGTAGGAGGGTTTATTGTTAGAGGCTGATGTTCTTCTATTCCTGGCTGTAGAATTTTGAGCAGGAAG